AGAAGGTTTAAATTAACAATTGGATTAAAAGTAAGTAACAAAATACACATATTAAATGAAAAGTAAAAAATTAACAGAATTTCTCAGGGGTATAGGATCAAATCTGGCTATGTCCAGCGTGCTTGATTTGACAGGGAAGTAACAAAACACTCTCATTTTTGATGGCAGTAGCTAAAACTTGAAAATTACCATTAGAACATATAAAGAAAAGATACTCTTTATTAGTGGTATTACATTCAGCATACTAGAAGAGCAAAAAAGGCGCCAAATTGATAAAAACTATTGGACGTAACCTGTTTTGATCCCAAGCGGTGGACATGGCAATGTTTGATCCCAATTTCATAGGACTTGGCCAAGTTTGATCCCAACCTAACCTCACCGGCCGGACTCAGTACAATATGTCAAAATACAAATTTTGAACATTATTGTTACTAGCTTTGCTTGCTTCTTGTATTATGTATCACTAGTATCATGTGTCTCTCTTCAGCTTTTCAACTATTTATGTAAAAAAATTATGCTGTTTTTATTTATTTATGTATATTTCTTATAAGGTAACAGTATAAACCAACTTGTTTCGATACAAATTATCACTTCGACATTATTATACCAACAAAAGCGGTGTCTCTTCTCTTGGTTTGCATTCCAATTCTTCAATGCCATTTTCGTTCTCAGGCAAAAGTTCAGCAATGTTTCAGCAATCACATCTGAATAGAAACTTAATTGTTCCAGGTCTTGCCAGTCGTCTCCAACATGTTTTGAAAGCGAATTTTTAACTTCCCTTCATCATTTCCCTTTATAACTTCCCTTCATACTTCATAATTTCCTCAGAACGCCTTCCAAAGCTTGATTGAATAGTTTGGGTGATATAGTGTCACCCTGTCTGACTCCTCGCCGTATCTTAATAGGCTCCGCTTGTTCAACTACATATTTTAATGGATGCTGTTGCTTGATCATTTTGTAAAGAGTTCTTTACTGCCCAATGTTCCACCTTATCGAATTCCTTTTTAAAGTCTAGAAATGCCACATACATTGGGATTTGATATAATAAAACGAAAATTATGACCACTCAACCAGAAGAATTAATAATTACAATTGCACAAACAACTATAAAACAAGTAAAAGAATATTTATATTTGGAACAACTGTTAAATTAAATAAAGACAATCAGACCGGAGAAATAAAGAGAAGGATACGGTTGGCTTGGGCATCCTTCGGAAAACTTTCCTATATACTAAAAAATAGAAAATACCCCCAATATTTAAAAACAAGAGTTTTCAACCGATGTATACTTCCTGTTTTCACCTACGGTTCTCAAACTTGGACATTTACAAAGGAAAACATGAAAAAATAGCAAAGACCCAAAGAGCCACGGAAAGGCAAATACTGAACATCAGGCTATCAGACAAGAAAAGAAATACTTGGATCCGTAACAAAACAAAAGTGACCGATGTATCAACGCAGATAGCAAAACTTAAGTGAAAATTCGCTGGACATACCATAAGACAGAAAGACAACAGATGGAATAAGATGATTATACACTGGAGTCCATATAGTTACAAACGAAAAAGAGGAAAGCCACAAATGAGATGGTCAGATGACTTGAAGAAACACGCAGGCCCGAAGTGGATACAAACTACCCACAATAGAGAGACGTGGAAGAAGGAAGAGGAGGCCAATGTCCAAAATTGGACAGCGAGGGCTGTATAGATAGATAGATTTTTATATTTTTCCGCTTGATTCTTATAAAATCTCTTCGACCGAACCAATACATTTCCGATCCATCGTTTTAAATAGAATCTTTTACACTGCGCAAACTGTACTTTCCACTGTCCGGAGGGTTTCAGTATTATTTCGGCTTCCCTTTTGAAATACACGATGAAATCTTCGCCTACGTTTACAACAGTTGTCTGCTGTGAAATTATATCGATGTTTTACCACCAAAGACCCGGTGAAAACACCAGTTCTACAGTTTTAATAGAAGAATGTTCCAACAACCATTTGCAACACATCGTGATTATAGTGGAATTTTTATTCTGGCCTCCGCAGCCGTCTGAGATTAGTCTAATGGTAGTGATATTGGTGACATATATCTTGTTTTTTTGAGAAAGTGTTCTCTGTCTGAACGTTTGTGAAAATGTTGTTTTTCTTAAGTGGCGTCTTTAAAGTTCCTTTCACAATAATAAAATTAAAAAGATATTATTGCCTGCTATAAACACGATTGGTCTGGTACTTTAGGAAAGTTAATGTTTTTTTGGCAATCTTAAGAAATTATTTTCACACCCTCTTGTTTTGTCTTAAGCAGCGAATAGAAAGCTTTTGCCCTTAAGCTATGAACTCTTTTTTCTAGTCTGAACTGATCCTTTTCTGTTTCATCATTCTCTGTTTTTATTTTTTCTAGTAGTTGCAGGCATGTAGAGCACATATCTGTATTAGGACTGCCAAATCCAAAATTGTATTCGGTGTTGAAAATATGTCTAAAGTAAGATTTTCTTGCCGGTGCTGAACATTCATTTTTGTATAGTTTGTACAGTTTTCAGATATTTACATCACTTGGCAAATATTTACGGATTGAACTTTTGCTTGGACAATAATGTGGTTGTGAACAATTGAAGTTTGCGAATAAATGCATGATGAGTTTGCATAAACGCATGCACTGATGCGTTTTTTAGCCTTGAATAGGTTGGCTTTGCGGTCTCCTCTTTTTTTCTCCTGGAAACTATTCACTTACGAAAGACTTTTAAACCAAATTTGAGACACGTCCTTTTTTCAAGTAAAGCGCTGCTAAAAACTTCTTCTGGCAAACACTTATAGATTGTTTATCAACTTTTATGGTACATTGCTTGGTTGCTTTTAATAGAGTCTAATCTCCAATCGCAGTATCCAATGTCAAGTTCCTTGGTTGTTTTCTCTTAATCGGTAAGGCTTGACAGCATTTCAATATGATTGCATCTTGGTCCGATTTGACGGGATTCTTATAAAAGTCGTGTGAGATTGTCGTAATATTTTACCCGTCACTTTATTGCATTCAAAAACTTCGGTTTTATGATCACTACGTGGTACTATTTGCAAAACTGTTTGCAGAATACCTAAAACAAAAGTATAAAAAATATAAAATTGTTTCTAACCCCACGATATCATAAGTCGGAAACTAAAAGAGCTCTTCCAAACAATCATCGATATTAGACTCAATTAAGCCTAAATTTGTTTTTGACAAATTTTACAAAATCAAAACAAGACAGTATAAGGAGTCAAACGTGGCAAACGCATTTCATATACATCGAAAGCTCCAAAATGGAAGAACATTCAGGGTCCGGAATATACTCCAGATCACTGAACCTAAGATCAAACCCCTAAAGTGGGCTATGGATAAAAATGCCAAAAATGACCACGTGTCACATCAAAACTCTTAGGATCTGGAGATCTTTTTGGTTGGTAAACTACAACAATCGCGGAAATTGCCAAATGGCCAAATAACCAGGAAAAACCAAGCTTGACAGTTGGTTGTTTAACTGGTCATTGTCCACTAAGCAAAACACCTTCACATACTGGGGCTAATATACACATTTCTATGCAGAAAGTGTGACAGAAAAGACGAAACTCTAGAGCATGTTTTATGTGAATGTTTCGAGTGATCGTTAATACCTGCTATACCAACAGTTTTTAATCGAAGCCGAACTTCTAATGTAGATGTTATTAAACATTGAAACATACTTGCTGTGTTTCAACATTTAAAAACATTTAAATCTTCTTTTACGGGTACTTTTTTTCATAAATTATATTCACATCACTGACACTTTCTACAAAATCAGTGTTCTTTGATGGTACACAAGGCAAATATCGAACACAGTAGTTAATCAAATCTTGCCCAAGTACTTTCGATCACAAGATCATCCCCAGGGGCATTTCGTCAGTTGTGGCCTATCCAGCAGTAATAGAATGTTATAAATGTAAATTGGGACCTAACAAATTCAATAAACAAAGACAAACAAACACTTTAAAATTTAAGAAATGGGGAAGCTACATTTTATATAGAAGCCGGAGACAGAATGGCTCCCAGCCTGGCGGAAATATTTCCGCCAGGCTGGGAGCTCTGCCCCTGAGGATGATCTTGTGATCGAAAGTACTTGGGCAAGATTTGATTAACTACTGTGTTCGATATTTGCCTTGTGACCATCAAAGTTCATTTATTCGAACATTCAACCTTATATTGAAAATCAGTGTTGTTATCGTACGCAATGTTTTCAACCACATTGTCCCACGGACGGCACATCACTATTCACAATATTTAAATTATAGCAAACATCACTCGTCTTCTTCTTATGGTGCCTATCCGTTACGGATGTTGGACACTAACATGGCTATTCTGACTTTGTTGACTGCTACCCTGAAAAGTCCAGTAGTGGTTAAGTTAAACCATTTTCGCTGGTTATGCAGGCAGGATATTCTTCTCCGTCCTGGACCTCTTTTCCCATGCACTTTACCTAGAAGTATGGTCCGAAGTAGGTCATATCGTTGTTCATTGCGCATTATATGACCCAGGTATCCGAGTTTGCGACGTTTTATGGTAAAGACTACTTCGCGGTCTTTACCCATTCTATGTAGTACTTCTTCGTTGGTAATTCTGTCTATCCAGGAAATCCTCAACATGCGTCTATAGCACCACATCTCAAATGCTTCGAGTCTCTTCAGTGATGCGTCAGTTAAAGTCCATGACTCCACGCCATATAAAAGAACGGAAAATATATATAAAATTAATAAATATAAAATATAAAAAATAATTAAATTACAGCAAACATCACTCTACACCCTACTAATGAACTGCTTCTCAACTAAAACGATTTGCACAGGCATCCGGTCGGTTGTAAAAGGGAGGGGATCAAACATCGCCGCATTTAAAGCGTTCTACAATATATGTTACTGCGACTATAAAGAGAAAAGTGCATACATAACGTACATTCTTATAACTAAACTCAAACATATTATTTTTACATTAAAAATACCTTAAAACAGGAGGGATGCCACACCGATTTTCCTAATCTAGGGGCAGCGACACTGATTTGTTGACTATGGATAGGTTTTTGACAATGAGCACAAATACTATTGGGCGGAGTGGGTTTTGCTAAGCCTACGTCGAGGGCTACTTGGTTTCGTCCAGAAATAAAATCCTAAAAATAAAATAAAAAACATATAATTACAAAATACCAATTAAATATATTTTATCAACTTTTGCATTGCCCTCTTTTATATTCCTATTCAGAATAAGATTAAGCTTGTCTAAATAAGTTTTCTGTTATTGTGCAAACGAGATCTTCTCTCTCTATTTTTTTCATGGACTTACTTAAATAGTTATGCTTAGTTTACTATATTAATTTTTTGATCTTTGGAAAATAGTAAATTAAAGTAATCCAGCCATAAAACCTTTTCAGCTGATTCAATAAATTGTCTATCCTTTCTTGGTTGAGGAACCAAAAGGTTATAGTCACTTCTGGGAGCATAGGTTTATGTATAAAGTGGTGTAATCATAAAGAATGCTCTGTAGCTATTTAAGAAGCCAAAAACAGAAGATCATTTGGTTCTAATTTTGTATAATCAATGTCTTTGCAAGAAGTTTGCCCTTCTTGAGTTTATCTTAATGAACACTTCAAATATTTTCTAAATAATTTACCTATATTAATTTAAATTTTAATATTTCCCGATAAATACTGTTATAAAAATAAACACCTAATTTCATTTATAGTAGTGCCATCTGTAAGCGAGAAGCAGAATTTTTAACCTTGAGAAATCCAGTATTAGATCTTCGTACTTTTCAGACCAAATTGTAGATGGAGGATATGATTAAACGTTTTTGATTTTTTAATAATATATAGGTAAACTCGGTTTCATCGTTCTTGGCGTGTGCCTGAAATAAGCTACTACGGAATTTTTAATATTCGTCTCTCTCTGATACACAGATGCGTAATTCAATTGTGCGAGTCACGTTTGTCATGGTAAAGTGCGATGAGACGGGAATGAAGAGACCACATACGTCTCCCAGTATTGTAGCAATAACACCGATGCGTTTGGCCGATACAGTGTCGGTGATAAGTTCGGCCTCTTTACGAATACAGATAGCTGCCAGTGGAGGAGGTAAACGAATCGAGCTTAGACAAGGAAAGACAGATGAAACAACTTATTGCAAGTGTTTTTACACGCTCACGCCAAGAAAGATGAAAACGTCTATAAACATGTTTTCCAGTTTTGTTTTGGTATAGCATTTTAATGTCTAACAATGAAAAATATTTTGTTATTTTTAATATTTTCATTAAATTAATCAATTCCGTTCTATATTGCGATATCGAATCAAAAAAACCTTAAAAATATTATAAGTACGTTTAAAAAGAAAAACTTACTTCATAACTAGCTTGGTTCTGAGGCTCGACAAACTTGCAAGCAGACAACGACAAATCCTGCTTCGGTAATTGTCTAACAATTCTTTGGGAACGATTGGTTTCACCTTTGGACCCGAGTTTTGGAACTTCCTCAGAAGGCAGAGTGGAATAATATTGGTCTACCTAAAAATTACGAAGAGATATGAGTTCTATATGAGTTTTAATATAATTTTTTTCAGAATTGTATAGCAAAATAAAATATATGGAACTAAGCAGGTCAACAATATCATTCACAAGAAACCTGCTAAGATCGAGAAGGTCATAGATATGAACAGAGGTCATGTTATACGATATTATATACGTGCAAAATCTTTATTAATCGGAAAACAAACCTCTGATAATCTAGACAAGTACTAAGTATAATTTAAATAAAACCCAAGAAAAGATTTATCACCATGACTAAAGCCTCGAAGTTCTCGTACCGTCAAGCAATAAACAGCTGCTGTGTCGGCTACGTTGAGGCAATCTCTAAGAAATTTGAAGCTTGTGAAACTCAACTTTGGGTGGTTGGAAATAACAGAATTGACGGCTGCCGAAGAACTGGCTAGAGAGGAAACTAAATATCCATTTTTAAGGATAGACATGTCTATCAAATTAATTTGTCGTTTATAGTAGTTTTGTATGGTCCAAGCTTTTTCGATATCATGATTATTATTGCTCTCTACCGTTTTGTCGGCCACTTTTCATCTTTTTATCCTAAGATGAACGCTTCTTTAAGTTTTGGATCTTTATCCTTTATGAACTCGTTACAACTCCTTTGCCCCTGCACTCCTGGTAATTTTTAACTATTCCTATTCCGAGGCATAACCCGTTCTATGCGCTGTATGGTTTTAAAGTCTATCAGTAGGGTGCTAACCTGGCTGTACACCTCCTCCTCCTTTATACGGATTGGGACCGACAACAGTTCTGTCAAGCTACTCGATCCACCCAACAAAATTGCAGACGAAGGATGCCTTAGTACCACTATAAGGCGAAACAGACACATTAACTTCTTCTTCTTTTGGCATCATAACCCTGTATGGGTCTTTGCCTGTCTGGCTATGTCCTTCCATTCGGATCTCTCTTGTGCTCTTCTTCTCCATTGTCTTATGTTCATTGTTTTCAGGTCGTCTTCCACGTCATCCAACCATCTCGTTCTGGGCCTTCCTTTTTTTCGCCTTCCTATGGGCTTCCATTGTAACATTTTCTTTGTTATTTTTGCATCGTTTTGTCTCTGCACATATCCCAGCCATGACAGTCTTTGACTTTTCACAAATCTTACAATGTCATAACCTTCATTTAACTCATTAACCTCGTCGTTTCTCCTGATTCTCCATGTGCCATCTTCCTCTTGTACCGGGCCATATACTTTCCTCAGTATTTTTCTCTCGAATGTCCTGAGTTGGGCTTCATCTTTTTTCGTCATTACCCAAGTTTCACATCCATAAGTTACTACGGGTCTAATCAGTGTTCTGTAGATAGTCATTTTGGTTCTTTTGTCTAATAATTTCGATGTCATCAATCTTTTATTAGCATAGTATGTACGATTCCCGCTGGAAATACGTGCATTAATTTCGCTACTTACGGAGTTCTTCTGATTGATTTCTGTGCCGAGATATGTAAAGGCATCCACTCGTTCGATAGTATAGTTGTCTATTGTGATATTATTTTCATTGTCAGTTATTCTTTTGACTGTCATATACTTCGTTTTTGCTTCGTTTATTTTGAGACCTCTTTTTCTTGCTTCAGGATCAATTTGTTTGAACACTTCCATTAGTCGTGGCTTATTCCTACTAATGATGGTTACATCGTCTGCATATGCAGTAATTTGTACTGATTTGGTGTTTATATGGCCGGTTATATTGGTTTTTCTGATGACTGCCTCAAGAACTAGGTTGAATAGCATGGTTGATAGGGCATCTCCCTGTCTTACTCCCATGTTGATGTTAAACAGGGGAGTCAGTTCTCCATCTACTCTGACTGCGGCTTTTGAACCCTGCTACGTCATTTTTATGAGGCTGATGTATTTCTTAGGTATATCTAGATTACAAAGGTCTTCCAGCATTCTGTCTCTTTTCACACTATCAAAAGCTTGTTTAAAGTCTCTATACATATTATATAGGTCTATGTCGTATTCATAAGCTTTTTCTTGTATCGTTCTTAGTATGAATACGTTATCTGTAGTGGCTCTATTTGGTCTGAATCCATTTTGATAATCACCAATTACATTTTCGGAGTATTCTAATATTCTATTGTAGATTATACCAGAAAGAATTTTGTATATTACATTTAGCAATGTAATTGGCCTATAATTCTGGTATTCCCTCTTATCTCCTTTTTTATATATTGGCTGTATGATGCCAACTGTCCATTCCTTTGGCATTTGCTCCTTCGTCCATATTAATGTTATTAGGTAATGGATTCTTTCCCAGAGTTCGGATCCTCCATGCTTTAATAATTCTGCCGAAATTCCGTCCGTTCCTGGTCCTTTATTGTTTTTTAGTTTATTTATTATCTGAACTACTTCTTCATAACTCGGATTTTCGATGTGCATCTCCGCCGTGTAATATATTGTCTCTTTCTGATCATTTTCGTTGTCTGCATTTAGATTTTCTTCGAAATATTGTTTCCATCTCATTATAATTTTTTGCTTCTCTGTTAGTAGTTCTCCGTCCTTGTCTTTGCATATCGTTAGTTTTGCTTTACGATTTCTTGTACTTGTTTTTTCATAGCCTCTCTTTTCTTTCTTCTGTATATTCTAGTCGCTTGTATTCTTTTTTCGTTATAAATCTCACTGCTATTTCTTGTGTTTCTTTGAAGTTGGTTAAGTCTAGCTTGCCTTTTTTCCTCTACTGCAGTTCTGCATTCATCATCATACCATTCCGCATTTCTTTGCCTTTTGGCCTTTCCGACAGTTTCCTCTGCTGACTCCGTTATAATTGTTTTAAATTTTCTCCATTCTTCCTCTGCAGTATCTTCCTCTCTAGTTCGGTTGAGTTTTATTTGGAGAGCATTTCTGTAATTTTTTCTCTTTGTTGCGCTTTTGAATCCTTCGACATTCCATGTCGTATTCATAAGCTTTTTCTTGTATCGTTCTTAGTATGAATACGTTATCTGTAGTGGCTCTATTTGGTCTGAATCCATTTTGATAATCACCAATTACATTTTCGGAGTATTCTAATATTCTATTGTAGATTATACCAGAAAGAATTTTGTATATTACATTTAGCAATGTAATTGGCCTATAATTCTGGTATTCCCTCTTATCTCCTTTTTTATATATTGGCTGTATGATGCCAACTGTCCATTCCTTTGGCATTTGCTCCTTCGTCCATATTAATGTTATTAGGTAATGGATTCTTTCCCAGAGTTCGGATCCTCCATGCTTTAATAATTCTGCCGAAATTCCGTCCGTTCCTGGTCCTTTATTGTTTTTTAGTTTATTTATTATCTGAACTACTTCTTCATAACTCGGATTTTCGATGTGCATCTCCGCCGTGTAATATATTGTCTCTTTCTGATCATTTTCGTTGTCTGCATTTAGATTTTCTTCGAAATATTGTTTCCATCTCATTATAATTTTTTGCTTCTCTGTTAGTAGTTCTCCGTCCTTGTCTTTGCATATCGTTAGTTTTGCTTTACGATTTCTTGTACTTGTTTTTTCATAGCCTCTCTTTTCTTTCTTCTGTATATTCTAGTCGCTTGTATTCTTTTTTCGTTATAAATCTCACTGCTATTTCTTGTGTTTCTTTGAAGTTGGTTAAGTCTAGCTTGCCTTTTTTCCTCTACTGCAGTTCTGCATTCATCATCATACCATTCCGCATTTCTTTGCCTTTTGGCCTTTCCGACAGTTTCCTCTGCTGACTCCGTTATAATTGTTTTAAATTTTCTCCATTCTTCCTCTGCAGTATCTTCCTCTCTAGTTCGGTTGAGTTTTATTTGGAGAGCATTTCTGTAATTTTTTCTCTTTGTTGCGCTTTTGAATCCTTCGACATTCCATTTTTTGATTTGAATATTTTTCCCTTTTGCTACTGTCGCTATTTTCTGCCATAATTTTGCTCCTACAAGATAGTGATCTGAGTCAGAGTTCGCCCCGCGATACGTTCTGACATTAGTTATGTCTGTTGCCCATCTTTTTGAGATGAGTATATGGTCCATTTGATTGGCTTCGTTAGTTCCTGGTATTTTCCATGTTCCTTTATGGATATCTTTTCTCTGGAAGTAAGTACTGACAACTACGTAATTATTTGCTGCTGCGAACTGTGCCACCCTGAGTCCATTTTGACTGGTTTCAGTGTGCAAACTGTGTTTCCCAAATATATTTGCAAACGTTTCTTCTTTCCCCAGTTTAGCATTAAAATCGCCTAACGTTATAACAGCATCGTGTCTTTGGATTTTATCACATACATCCTGTAGTTCTCCGTAGAATTTTTCAACGTCTTCTTCATCAGCGTCTTCCATCGGTGCATATACATTAACCATTGTCATGTTATAAAATTTACCTTTAAATCTTATGGTGCAAATTCTATCTGATATTGGTGTAAATGCGATGATGGCTTTCTGCAGTTTTTTGGTTACCATAAACCCTACTCCTCTTTCACCTTGTCTCATTTCATTTCCGGAGTAGTATAGTGAGAATTTGTTCTTATGAATTTCTCCGTGGCTCTTCCATATGATTTCCTGCAGTGCCAATATTTCAACACAGACACATTAACACTGTGATCAAATCAAGAATTTATAAAGCCAGTGTTACGCCTCAGAAACAAAACCCGATACAGCCACAACAAAAAGTCTATTGGAAACGGCAGAGATGGGAGTACTGAGAAGAATTACAGAAAATAATCGATCGAAAGAGAAGTAAAGACACTAGAAGAAAATTTAACGTACAGTGTATAAATGAATGGACACAAAATAGAAAAAAGAATGGAATAACCACATAAGCAGAATGAAGGAGACCCGTGTTGTCAAAATAGCAAGGGATAAGTCACCAATCGGCAGAAGAAGTATCGGACAACCGCGCAAAACATGGAGTGACAACCTTAGATAGAGGTATTAATCCGCCAATGAACAAGCAGAATTGTTTATAAAGATGAAGAAGAAGACTTTTAACTATAAAAGAAAGAAAACAAGGTGATAAAGTAGATGAACAAATGAGTTCAAGCAGATAACTTGTGAGATAGCATTAAAATTTTCCCTAATAAACAAATAATAACAATAAGAGGAAGGCTTTATTCCTATTTGTTATATAAGTGTAGGTTTATAAAATATAACTGGATAAGGTTTTGATATAAGTTAATAAGATTTTGTTTTTCTCATAAACAACTTTACAACGATCAAGGCGACACAATTTGTGTCCATTCAAATATTTTTGTAGTATGCATCAAAATATCAATGATTGACCTACCTGTCTAGCACTGGTAAGACCTGGAGGCACGAAGGTGTATCCTAAGGATCTAGCGTCTAACCCATCATGGGTTGCTACGAAGCCGAGTCGCGATCGAGCTCCATGCTCTGCCACTATCTCGTGTCCGTCTTTGGAGCACTTGCAATGTTTGCATGTTTTTCTGTAACAAAATATATAAATTAGTAAATTCTTTGACGCAAATTATGCAAACGCTATAATTCTGCATTACAGTAATGCATTAGTTAGTGATCTGCATTAGTTAGTAATCAGTGTAGTAGTGTCTGGCGGCTCGGGAGACTGAGCCCTAAACAAGACACCAAAGAGCTTCTCAGCTTCATGTTTTATAATATATTTATATAGAGTACACAATGCAAGTGAGATAAAAATCGATCAAGGAGAAATAAAAAATGAAAAAACCATTTCAATCTTTTAATAGAAAGTCATATACATATGTCAAACAATGTCAAATGCGTAGGTTTAGGTGTTAGAACATACATTTAAAAACTACAATAAAAATACAGTAAAAAATGCATTATAGAGTTTTTTAAATTCATAGAAACATTAAAAAGTCACAAAAATGTCACAGTATAATAACAAGATAATATAATATTTAAGGCTATATAAGATTAGAAATTTTGCCGATATGCAATTAAGATCTGATCAGTGGGCCTCAAACAGTGGGGCTTTAATATTTATATCCGATCGCTTGAAAATTAAAAATATTTAACTTCCCGTATTTTATGTTCAGTAATAATATTGGCAACATCACATCAAATACACAACATTTGTTACAAATTGTGGAATCATTCTATGAGACATTATATAGTAACAAATCGACTCTAGATATAGTTGAATATCAACAGAGGAAGGTTCAAAATCAGGGTTTGGAAGATATCCCAGAAATCTCCTTGGACGAAATTTACAAGGCTCTAGAAAAAATGAAGAATAACAAAGTTCAGGGGGAGGACGGTGTCGTCACGGAAGCGATAAAGATAGGAGGCTCAGTACTGATAACCAAAATTCAAAAGCTCTTTAATCTATGCCTATGGAATCAAAATATCCCAACAAAGTGGAATAATTCAATAACTGTACTCTTACACAAGAAGGGAGATATAGCAGACCTGGAAAGATACAGACGAATCAGTCTCCTTAACCATCTTTATAAATTATCTTCTTCTTCGCGTGCCGTATCAGATTTATCCGACGTTGGCAACCACCATTACGAACGCTCCTTGATCTTCTGCAATATGAAATAATTGTCCTGCATTTGGTATCTGAGTTCATTCACGAATGTTTTTTAACCAAGAAAATTGTTTTCTTCCTACACCTCTAAGGCCCTCTATTTTGCCTTTAAGGATCAGTCGTAAAATTTTATATCGACTTCCTCTTACTATATGTCCCAGATAAGACATTTTTCGATGTTTAACAGTCTTTAGCAGTTCTCTGTCTTTGTTGACGCTCCTTAGCTTCAACAAAGCGTCAATATAAATTATACACCCAAATAATTAGTCTCTAATCTCTAATCTGTTCTAACGAACAGATTAGAGACAAAGCTGGATTTTTACCAACCTCGGGAACAAGCCGGTTTCCGCTCTAATTACGGCACAAACAATCACCTGCAGTGCCTAAAAATCCTGATAGAAAAAACTAACGAATATAACCGTCCCTTTTCATTGATATTTGTAGACTTTACAAAGGCGTTTGATACAGTGGAACTACCGTCCATCTTAAGAGCACTACAAGATTGCAGGGTCGACCACAGATATTGTAATATAGTTAAAAATATATATGAAAATGCCATAACAACCATAAGTCTACATTCTGCAACTAATAAAATAAAGATAAAAGGGGAAGTCAGGCAAGGTGATACCATGTCACCAAAGCTGTTCATTACCGTTCTTGAGTATGCATTTAAAAGACTAACGTGGCAACAGAAAGGAATATCCATCGATGGAGAAAGATTAAACCATCTACGTTTTGCGGACGATATCGTGATTATGTCAGATAATCTGGGAGAAATCAAAGACATGCTCCAAGAACTGAATGACATACTACAAGAAACTGGGCTGGAGATAAATTTCGAGAAAACCAAAATGATGACCAATATGGTTCGCAGTGAAGAGATACAGATCAATAACAACAAGGTAGAATTAATCGATAAATACACATACTTGGGTCATGAAATTAGAATAACCAGAGACAACCAAACCTGCGAGCTAAATAGACGATCAACGTTGGGATGGGTGGCATATGGAAGGATGAGAGACATTTTTAAAACAAATATCCCAATTCGCCTGAAAAGGAAGGCATTTAACCAATGCATCTTACCAGTCTTGACCTAAGGAACGGAGACCCTAATTTTAACGAAAGCTACTGCAGAAAAACTGAGGGTAACACAAAGGCGAATGGAGAGATTATTGCTGGGCCTGACCTTGATCACGTGAGAAATGAGGAGATACACCGACGAACTGGCGTAGACGATATTATACTGCGAATCAATAAACAAACGTGGAGGTGGGCTGGACATGTTGCTAGAATGGAAGACGGAAGATGGACGAAGAGATTATTGGAGTGGAGACCAAGAGCTGACAAGCGAAGTCGGGGCAGACCACCCACCCGATGGACCGACGACTTAAGGAGAATAGAAACAAACTGGATTGTAGCAGCTAGAGATAGAGAAAACTGAAGACGTTTGGAGGAGGCCTATATCCAACGATGGATGTGAAAATGGGGCTGGATGATGAATAATATTGGATTTCACTGTATCAAAGGTAAATAAAATGAATATAATGTATATACAGGTCGTGTAAAAAGAGTAGAAAAATTTCTCTCTCCCGATGCCAATCAACATGTAGCTTCGCCGCTTTTTAAAAAAATTTTAACTGTTTGTCCTTGTTACGTGTAGTGTTAATGTACAATTTTATGTTTATGACATCCTCAAATGTTGTTGGATAGGCCAAATTTTGACGAAATACCCCCGAAGATGGTCTAAGAAGCAAAAGTACTTGGGCAAGATTTAATTAATAACTTGTGAGGTACAAATAGATTTAAAAACACTTAAGTACAGAAATTAAAAGATTTCACAATTAAAAACTGACATTAAAATATTGCATGTTATGATTTAAGAAAGGTCTTAAGCACGTTCGTTATAGTAATAAGATAAAACAAGTAAAAATTACTGCAAATACACAATATAACAATAAAATAAACATTAGAAGAATATTTTTATTTATTTGATTAATTATTAAGGTTAGTTGTAATTAAGATGAGTGTTTCTTTTTGAGTATTTATAAATTTTATTCAATTATTACATTATATAACTGCCCAGTGTCTTTTTTGTTAATGTGATACATCTCCAGAAATAATCTACTTTTGTAGTTATCAATCTGTGTCAAAATATGAGCCTCGTTATAGTCTTTCATATGACCGGTGTTTTCATAGTGCTCAACTACTTCTTCTTCTTCACGTGCCATTTCCTCTAAGAAGGTTGGCAACCATCATGGCAATTCGCACTTTCGACACCGCTGCTCTAAAGAGGTCAGCAGAAGTGCAGTTAAACCAAGCTCTCAAATTTTATCAATTTTTCTCAATTATTGCTCAACTACTACACAAGTATTTTCCCAAGCGGAAATCACTTTTACTTTTATGGTGTGTAAGGCGTTGTTTTAACTACTGTGATGATTGGCCAATGTAGCTTTGTTGACATCCTACATCCTAGATACATTCTTAAACAACATTACTTCCATATAAGGGTTGATACTAGGTGTTTCATTTTTGAAAATAGTTGGTTGCTGTTCATGGTATTGTATTTGGCTAAACTAATGTTGGGCACATCTTTAAATATGGATATTACAGAATGAGTCATAGTAATTAATGACATCAGAAAAAAGGTAAATCTGGCAACGTTACAGACATCAAATTTCAAATCTTCATTATGCAAAATCGGTGAATCCCTGTTTATATAATTTGGACCATCCATTAAAGAGATAATTATACGTTTTCAGACTGTTGGTCCACTCGGTATATTTGATTATATTGTAGAATATTATTAATGTTCTTTTTAGTTTTTTTATATAGCAGTAACTATTACATTTATTTATAAGGCTTGTCGATAGAAAAAGATCCATGTCTCAGTAGATTCCGTGTTAAAATCGATAAAACTAAAAAGAAGAAAATAAATTGGAGTGGCAATAAACGTTGACAATGAGTTCTGGTTGAATTCCCACAGCGAAATTCGCTGTCAATTAAATTTAATAAGCGACAATTTATGAATCGTGAATTTTACAGCGGAAGAAAAAAATATACTGGTCCAAAGGGTAGTGATACGGCAAGGTACAGGAAAACTTCTATGAAGTAGGTGATACACTGTTGAAAAACACTTGAAGACGACGTAGGTATGTCAATTTTCCTAAAAATTTGGTCTTGAAATTCCTTTCATTCATGCATCTCTGTTTTTCCAAAAAGCAAAATAATTTATTGATTCACTTTAGGAATTAATAGGAGAATTTGTCTGTTCAATAAATACAAAATATTAATGTTTATGATTTCATGAAAAATCGATTAGAATGGTGGATGGAAAGTAATAACCTATGGATTGCATAGGATTGGAACTATGGATTGCATTTCACGCTTCGCAACCGACATACAGTTAACTTATTCTAACAGTAAATATACAGCTGCTTTATTTGTGGACATTTCTGGTGCATATGATAACGTTATTTTCGACCTTCTGCTTGATCAACTTGTTAATATAGGAGTGCTTAATAAATGTACTTATGTCCTACTCAATCTATTTACAAATAGACACCTTTAAATCCCAACACCTGGATTGCTGTTATTATTTTTAATATCACTAAAAAAATTTTTTTGAATCTTTTGGCTGTAGTAATACTATGTATAACTAATATAGTTTCATGTTGCATTGACATTTTGTTTTCGACACCGTTTATAGGTATCTTGTCAATCAGTTACCAACTGTAGTCCGTTTAAAGAGGTTTACTCTCCGGACACTGGAACTCACTTCAAGCGTGTTACCTGAAGTCAAATTTAATTTAATATTTAACATCACAGTTTTATAACAACAATATGTACAATCTTTTACAACTACATGTAATATAAAGGGTTTTTACCCTGGTATTTTGGTGGCTCAGGCATTTTAAC